ATTCTGCTGACCTTAATTTCAATAAAATATCACCTCTGGTATAAATCATCAGCTGGCATAGTCCAAACATTGAATGTTGTGTAAAGCGAATACTTTTTATCAAAATCATTAAATCCTACTATATATTAATAAGAAATACCCGTATTTAATAAGTTATTATATATAAAAATACAAGCCCACAAAAGGTAAAGGCGGAAATTGTATATGTGATCCCATAAATCATCTGATCACACTATCACTTGTTGACAGGCTTCTCACAAATCGAAAAAAAAAGAAATAACAATAAGTAGCGTTAATTTATTCTGCCAGATAAGGTCTTAAAAATTTTGATCAGTAACTTGTTTATGCTCTCTTTTTTATTCTGGTTTTATTATAATATTCATGTGAATAAAAACAAATTAGTGTTAGACCATTTTTCAGAATATAAACTGGGAAAATTTTTAATCGAATATAAAAAAGATACTTACTAATAATCATGTTAAACTCTTAAATCGGTTGCCAAAGGTAGTAAAGTATAACTGGTATTTTTTAAAATTTAGAAGTCATGCACAGCCATAAGCTTCATTTAATTAACTACCAAAAAGAGGTTAGCACAATAATAAGGATTTTATTAATATTCTGTTGCGGTAATATGAAGTTAGAAGATGAATTGAATTTTCTTGTTGGTATCAAGCTTTTTTTTATTATCTATATGAATATTAATGTGCTAAAGCTTTTAACTATTAACTTGATACGTATAAAATAAAATAAAGTTAAATCTGATTAAGCTAATAAAGTTACAACTTTATTCTGCTATAAATATAGAGTATTTTGAAAAAAATTTTTTTTCAAACATGTAAAACCGAAACAAGTTCGAACTGCTATTAGCAATGAATTCAAATGACAAATTTGTAAATTTGCAATTCAAAATCCTCAATATAACTATAAACAAATTTCTGAATATTTTAAACAAAATTTTCAATTAAATATGCACTGTTCAACTATTAGTAAAATTATTAACGAAAAAGACAAATAGCTAAAAGCAGTTCCAGGTAAAATAGCACACAGTAAATTTCATCACCATTTACCAAAATTTCTATCATTTGAAAAAGCTATGAGTTTATGGATAGAAAGTACGATTGTAGCAAAAATTCCAATTAGTGAAATGTTAGTTAAAGAAAAGGCCAAATTTTTTATGCAAGCTCTTAATATAAATGAATCTGATCTAAAATTATCAAATGGTTGGATCGAAAAATTCAAACGTTGTAATAATCTTCATGTATATCATTTACATAGAGAGGCTGGAAGTGCATCTTTAGAAACATTGCATGAAGAAAGACAAAAATTACAGAACCTTCTTAGTTAGTATATGCTTGATCAAATTTATAATGCAGATGAAACTGCACTGTTTTATCGTATACCACCAAACCAAACATTGTCAACAGCTCCTATATATGGTCAAAAAAAGTATTTATATTTATATATATTTCTTTAAGCAAACAAAAAAAAAAGAAATTCTCTTGTAGTATAGGTGATATCTATTTTAAGTTGTTTAATTAATAATACACTTTATAAATAGTATCATCTATACTACAAGAAATTAAAAAAAAATTACTTAATTTAAAATTATTTTTAGGATAAAGTAAGGATTACTGTTTTACTTGGCTCTAATGCTACAGGAACATATCGTCTTAAGCCATGGGTAATTGGCAAATCTCCACGACCAAGATATTTTAAATGTATTAATTTAAATTCTCTTCCTGTTGAATATCGTGCAAATGAAAAAGCATGGATGCATAGTAATATATTTGAAGAATAGCTTCAGCAATTAAATTATTATTTTTGAGTTAAGAACTAAAAAATTCTTCTACTAATTGATA